TTTACACAGGAAGTGCCCCTGGCTACACAGGAAGTATGCCAATTTACACAGGAAGTGCCCCAGGCCATACAGGAAGTATTCCAGTTTGCACAGGAAGTGCCCCAGTCCATACAGGAAGTATTCCAGTCTGCACAGGAAGTGCCTGTTAGCTCATCAATCCTTTAACAAAGCTTCACTTCAAAGGATTTAAATTATTGCTCTCAAAGCAGTTGTAAGCGTTTCAAGCAATTTATCCAAATTTAATTTTTTTCCAGATTTAAAACCATTAAATTCACCTTCACTTTTGTTCTGGAGCCAAATTTTACACAGAGAATTAGCCCCGAAGCATGAAACTGATTGTTAAACAAAGGGGACACATTTGCTACTTGTAGGTTGGAGTTTTCAGAAAGGCCTGAACACTTTTCGCGGTTTCATTGTTTAGAGCGCTACGATCCTCTGAAGGAGGGTTTCTCTCTTGTGGGAACGTTCGGCTGTCCTGGCTTCCCAAACCTGTTTCCTCTTTTGTTTTTCTCTGCTGACTTTTCAGTGAGTTGGGCTGAGTGTTTAGGAAAGGCTCTGCGGTTGGCAGGGTGAGGTTGGATTCCTGATCTCTGTCGAGTCTTGTTGGAGGATTCCAGCCGCCTCCAGCCCGAGGAAACAGAACAGGTCTCAGCCGAAGACGTATAACGGTCTGGAAACTGAACCGACTCTGGATCAAAGAAGATGGAAAGTTATGGGCCTGCTGACACGTTCCCTGCAGGACGAAGGAGAATCTCACGGGTTTCTTAGGATGTTGGAGCTCTACGTGTTTTCATGAGGGTTTTATCTGGCTGAAGAAAGATAACAGATTTTTATTCTCTGCTCCTGATTCTTCGTTTGGCGCCACCTGAAGGTTGAGGTTGTGGTTCTAGGAACTCCTGCTGACAATTTGAACAAGTGTTTCTACTTGGTGACATTTTCAACTGGTATTTTATATCACAATTAAAATCAAGCCGTTGATAAAACAAAACAACCACATTTAGCTTAATAACACGCATGTTTTTTATTGTTAATGAGCAACTATAAGCTCTTACTTCATCTTTCTATAAAAGACTTTTAGTTCTATAAAAATACACTATAATGGTTGTTTTACAGAAACATCATCGACTGATTAAACAGAAAATATTTTTTTTGTGTTCCATTTTTTCTTAGTTCTACAAATGAAGTCCCGATGAACAATTACTTTTTTATTTGTGCACGGCAGCCTTAAAAATTACATTTAAGGTAAATTAAACCTATTTAACCTGATGTTTGCGCGTGGTAAGATTTTTTTTTTAACTTTCATAACTTCAGTTAAAATAGCTA